GCTAGTAGAGTTATAGTAAAGGTTGCTTTGAAGGAAGTAAAGAATGAGACTGCTGGGCTTACAAGGATGCACAGTGGTAAGTTAATACAGTAAATGCACATTCGGTCAACATTCAAATAAAAATCTCCAATAGATTAGATCAATAGGCTGCTTGTAATTAGGAATGAGATGATCAAAAGGTTTAATAATAATGAAGTTATTTATAGTGGGAAGCACTGAAAGACTAAGACTAGAATTTACTAAAGTACCAATATAAGACATTGTAGTGCATGTAGAACCAACTAGAGTACCTTCTAAAACACCAACTTACTAATACTACATTACACAGTTCTGAGAACACAATCATTATATAAAAATTAGAAATCTACCAAGTGGTGTGTCTACTAAAACAGCATTGTATAGCTCAGCTGGTGTTGAAGCAATATGAATGGCTTCCATCTGATCAAAGCTCCCAAGTGGATTACACTTAGAAATAAGCTCAGATATTGGTCTTTGGTGAAGAGTACCTGTGATCAGCAAGATTATGTTGTCAATCATGTAACTGTATCTGAAAAGCACCAAATAGGATTCTTCAAGAAAATATTTAGGAAGAAAGTTCCAAACATAAAAATGACTGTACAACTGTTTTATCAAATAGAATAAATCAAAATTATTGCATTTCTGAAAAAGATGAAATGTACCACAAATAAAGTTTAAAAGTACAAAAAAAAGAAAATCATTTTATATACTAATAAATTTAACAGTAATTTCATTAAACATTAGAAAAAAATGTAGAAAACTTACACCATCAAAATCTCCACATATTTATACATCTTTACTAGGTCCAAAAACATTCTAGACAACCTGACTAGCCTATTGTAATTCTCATTTTAACTGATTTATGTGGAACTGTTGATTCTTTTTATAAGCTGTGTTATAATGTAAAAAACAGAAAAGACATCTGAACGGATAAATCAAAAAATGGTATGTAAGTACAAATAAACTCAGGTGACTGCCCTTCTGTCATTTGTTCATTTAAAATCTCTTATCAACACTTGAGGATATTACTTTTTTTTCTTATCTTCTTTCTTATTTGTAATGCTTCTGAATCTATCTTAAATATTTTTCAAACAACTGAACAAAAAAATCTTACTGATGGATTCTGTTTCTTTTGAAAAAAAAACAATGAAGATCTTATCATCTATCATTCAAAATGCATTAGTATGATTAAGAATATCGAAAATTTTTAAGAACTCTGTAGAGTCTAATCAGCTAAAAATGTGTGACTGGGAATTTCACAAGATGTACTTAGGATGTCACAGGTCATTAGCAGTAGCAATGTGTTTGTTTTATGAATACATAATTAATGTTGGCAAAAACAAAAGGAGGTGATATGTTGAAAGCATTCAAAACCATGTGGGAGTCTGAACAGTCTACCTATTAATAATCCAAGTTCACGATTGATAAGATTGGTAACATAAACCTGTGTGGTAGAGAAATAACAAAGATGTCTAATTTAAACATATTTTTAGGCAAACTGAGTTTCATCTTATGATAGTTAACTATTGCACTGGTTTGCCTGATAATGTGAAATGTACTAAATATCTGTATGAAGAAAGGTACTTTTAGTTTTAAGTGGCTGTAAGACTATCCTTCAGAAACTAATACAGCTGACCTTAAAGAGCCATTTGCTACTTTTTCATTCTCACAGTGCAATTTATAAATGTTTATATGTTCTATTTATACTTAGAGAGCAAAGAAATATATCTAACCTATATAAAAGCCTGTGTGTCACATCACACTTGATTTCTCAAAATAGTAGGAATCATAAAAGCTAAAATGCATTTATCCAGATAGAATAGTTTGATTACTGTCTGCCTATTATGATTTTAATGACAGGGTGCAAGGGGGCTATGAGGGAAGAGGGTGCCTGGAAAACTTATAAGTGTAGTGAGTGTTGGTATAATAAGCCTAAAGTAAAGTTGTGTAGGATCACCTATCCTAGAGCCAAGTCTGAAAACTCCTCCCTCAGGAGGTCACCCAGAAATTATGTCTAGGAGTAGGTTATCTGGGTTGTTGAACTTGAACCTTGTATCAAATATTGTGTTCCTAGCCTCCCAGGATTTCAGGGGAACCATGTTTGAAACTGTGTTCATACCCCAGTCACAAGATAGCAGGACTAGGCACATACTCAGGTACCATCAGCAGGTATCCTAATGGTATTTGTTTTGGAGGTGCAGATCCTTCCCCCTTGGTGTAGCTGTAGAAATAATTGCAGATAATAGAGGAGCTTGATTGGTACTATGGGCTCTGTGAATCATGAGAGGGCCTTTGAGCCCTGCAGCAGAGAGAGAATATTTTATGCTAGTCTTGTTAAACTTAAAAACTAATCTTTCGCTTCTGATTTTAATCCACCCCATTTTGGTGTCACTGATAAAGGTCACCAAACAGACTGAGCCCAGTTTTATTTGAACAAAAGCAAATCAAGTTTACAGTCAGATCATTGCTTTCCCACTTAAGCACAAGAGCTCTGTGTTATGCTAATATAATCACAATATTACACTGAGAAGCTCAAGGAACTATAAACACGAGCATCAATTTACCACATAGGTTGCCATTTAACATTTATACTGTGACCAAAGATTAAGTTTTAGTTACATACGTGATAAAGTCTAAGAATGTTGACAATGGTTCCACTGAATGGTTTCTCAAATGTCGAAACTCTATTACCAATTTCTCTCGAAGTTTATCATCAATAACTGATACTGTAAGAGGACTCGGTTCATTGGCCAGAAAGTTACCATAGTCAGTACTTTGCAGATGCAACTTAAGATCTGCAGAAACAAAAATACTGTATAATTAACCTAATAGATGCATGTTGCTCATTAAGAAAATGTTAAAACATGCAAAAACAGCTTGTAAGTGAGTAAAACTAACAGCATCATAGCTTATTTAGAAACTTTTCATGGAACTGGAATTTAACTTAATAAAAACTAAATTTAATAAAGATTAAAAGAAAATAAATCAAATTGATAAATCTTTGAAATCCAAATAACATTAACAGATATACAATGGACATAGTTCACTTAAATCTTTTAATATTTTTACTATTTAACCACATAAAAATTAGAAGTTTAGAACATTAGAAATCAAATTTTCTCTGACTGTCCTTACCTTCTAAAGTTTCACATTGAACAAGATTTAAGTACTCTGTATGCTTCAGGATTCCTGATTTGAACCCTCTAACCAAACCTTCTAGGTAACCACTTTCGATGTTAAAATACAAATCTGACATTACGCTATTTTTCAATAACAACAAAGTACTATTAATTTTTTTATAATAACAAAGCAAATGCTAAATACAATTAGAATAGCCCTTCTCACTCTCAGTATCACTTATCAAACGAATTTCACATGACAAAATATACGCTCTCTAGTGTGCAAAATGTAAACTAAAGTTTTTTGTAAGATCCTTTTCATATTAATTTCATAGTTTATTAAAAATTAATTTTACATTATTCATTTTATTAAAGTTTTAAATCATTGCCGATTTTTCACTGAAATTGCCTACAATATTACTATGCTGACGAGTATTCTCAAACTATATTGAAAATTATGTAGTCTTCCAATAGCTAAGAATTGTATATGTTTAATAGATGGCAGTAAGTGTCAAGGAAGAATCGTAAGGTAATGTTTTGAAATAAATCAAAAACTAAAGCATTGTTTGAGTATTATAATAACTTATTTGTTTTGTTTAATAAAAGGTAGTTATTTTTAATGATAATCTATTCGCATATTAAGATAGCGAAAATAGGAGAAAGTTTTCACTATACACAAGTAGAAGTTAGGCTTAACCCAAAGTTAACCGAATGGAAATAACCTTAAGTCTCAACTTAAGAAGTTAAGTTACTATGAATACGATACTTACTTGGCAATATGATGTATGGGTGTGTGGTGTGACATTAACACTAGTACCAGCAGTAGCACTAGCAGTGATATTGATAGAATCTAGAATTAAGTAACGTCAGACGTAAAACTATAGCAAGCATATGTTAAAATCTTAAGGTCACTGTAGAATCTCACAGTCACAGTAATGAGTTAAAGAAATATCAGTACAACTACAGTGCATTGTGGCTGTTGTATATATGGCCTTAAGAAAAATCTACAATTAAGAAAACAAAGTGGCTATTGACACCGATAAGAGGTGGCAATTAAAACAACGATAAATGTACTGACAATCTACACAAGTAAAGTGATCTAGACTAATTTTAAATTACCTAAAAGAAGAAAAGGCTGTCCCAATAAGTATCTGTTGCTATTCTTCTGCTACAATCAGATAATAACAACCAAAGTCGTCCATTTTCTGACAAATCTCATGAACTTTTGGGGTTAATGAGGGGAGGTAATGTAAACTGTTGATTTAGGTGTCAATAGCTTTCCTTTAGCGTGACTGCCACTGGTCAGTTGAAATAGTAAGTCAGTGGCTTTTGTTGCCACAATTCTGTCAGTGCCAATAGCAATGACTGTAAAGAAATTGTGTTAGTACTTTTTACAGTTGCAGGCTTTAGAAAACTGGTCCTTTCATATATTTTTTACTTAAGAAGATGGGTGCAATGCTCAGGAAGTGTTCATATGAGGTATTATTAAAAATGTCTTAAGGTGCTCCTTTATGCTTTTGTACACTTTTTCTATGATCATTACATGAGTAAGCACCAGATGCCAGAAAATGAAGGATGTTGAAAAAGTTTTAGAATCATTTTAAAAGTTCAGTGAGCTTGTATCAATGTATTTAATCATATTATCTGTATTTGTCATATTTTTATTTTAAATTGTTATTGTATGTGCCTTATGCACAGTGTATTTTAACATTAACAATAAATAGTGTCAGAGATAAAATTAGCCCTTTAAGAAATCTTTAAGAGAACTATATTAGAGGAAGGTTATGTTGTGTCTGAAATCTCAAAAAGAAAAAATACTCGTACCATGGTTAATAAAGAAAAGAAGATATTCCCAAGCTGACTGATTTCTTTAATGGTGGGGAGGATTTTTTACTGAATATTTGTTTATGTTGAAGAAGAAACTGTTTTAGATATATTTGGGGAAATCTTGAGCATAAGAAATAGAATAAAAAAAAAGAAAAGATAATCTTATTGCCTATCACTCAAAATGCAGTAGTTTGAACAAGGTGTTTGCCCCTGATGAAATTTATTCTAAAACCTTGAAGAAATTTAGCAGAAAGTTATTGCAGGCTTTAACTTGTTTGTTTTTATGATAGTGTCACTCATAAAAAATACCATTAAAATAAGTAAGATACCAAAACTATGAACAGTGCATCAAATGAGGCCTCACCAGAATCTTATAATGCAGTAGCTTTCTCCTTCTTAATCCAAAACTTCTATGAATACAATAGAACTAAATGGCAAAAAGTCATTCACTCTCTTCACTGTGTTTGAAGCACACCAGAGAACTTTAGAGTTTCACTAACAATAACATCTGAATATTTTTCACAATACCAAGTCTCCCCTTACAAAAAAAGTAAACAAATTATATTCTAAAATTCTAAACCCTAAATATATAACTGCATACCATCAGTGTTAAAACTTGTTTTCAGTGTTCTGTCTCATAAACAATGACCATCAAGGTGGTAGAAATAAGTCACAAATGTGACACTATGCTTACTCTTCATACTTCAGTAACTTCCATTTACTTGATATTCAAGTAAATGTTTAATGTTACTTTTCATACTTTTATTAGAACATTTGTTTTTTGTCCTTCAGTATAGTGGAATATTACATTGAACAATTATTGACTGGTTATGAGGGCAAAAAATGACATCATGCATATGTATATGACAATCGCCTTGACAAGTGGTCAACATTGATGTTATTTGTTGCCCAGCTTTCAATTCAATGTTGAAAAATGTTTCATACCACATGATGCATTCTCGGTCAGTCATGGCAAAGAGTTCATGCTAGGAGTTAATAACAGTTGTTGTGTTCTTATTTCTTCTGCTGTAATACATTCTGAAACAGTCTGTGCAAAATGTTTCAAGTAAACAGTAGGATGAGGTTGAACAAAGATCACAATGATAGACACTTTGTAAGATCTATTTTTTCTAAATATTAGTGTAGTTTATATTGTTAGTACACACATATAACTAGTAGTGAGAATAAGACCTTTTTATATTTTGAAGATATATCTGAAATATATTTCAAAATTAATCTGTGTTTTGTTTTTTACAAATGTATAAAAAAGTTATACTTGGATAATTGTGTTCTCATAAAAACAACTTAAAATCAGAGCATGTGTATACAGTTAGTTAATGTACGACTCTATTCTTCTTAAGAATCACATGGAAATGGGTCACTCATGCTTAGTATTGCTGATGTACAAAAATATAGCTAATAAAAAAAGGCCTTATAGATTAATTTATTCTAATCCTGCCTAAAAGAAGTTCACATGCCACAGCTATTGAGGATTCTCTCTGGTTTTAAAAGTCCAAATATGCCTCAACCAATGTGACCACATCCACAAGAAAATAAAAGTCCTATACAACTCACAATGCATTTTAATACAGAAATATCCTTTTTAAAACCTCACTAGGTACCATTTATTAAATTCAAACTTTTATGATGCCTTTCTAAATGATCTGTCAAGGAGAAATCAAACTAATAAGCATTTAATTACCTACTTGTACATCTCCAAATCTTTTCTTTTTAAAGACAGAGATTTAATTACCTGAAATTTACCACATTCAGTGAACTTTCAAATATTATGGTTCAAACCCACAACTCTTTATTTAAAATGGCTGCTTATAGACAAAAAATTTTGTTGTTTTTTTGTGTGAGACTTTAAAGTCTTTTGACATGTGTTTGATTTTGGTTTGAAAGCAAAAAACAACTTACTGCATACTGGAATTTGTTTGTTAAATTATTTCAAGAGAGACTTTTGTGTTTATACTTTTAGTAATGTTTTTAGGCTTTTTGTAGAATAATAGTTTTTAGTGTTGGCTTTACTATAGGGGAATATAGAAATGCCTTTAGAATAATTCCTGATTATAAATGACATAAAGTTCTTTTCTTATAGCAAATGAATATTAACCTAGATATATGGTTGTTTTCAGACAAAATTGTGTCATTCCTATTAGTGATCATTGTGTGGAACAGTCTGTTGAAGGATGTTCCATTTTAAGGTTATCAAGGCATAGTTATATGAACTCATAGTTAGTAAAGACTATATTTTATTGTTTTCTTGGTGATTGGAAGCCTTCAGGTGACTTCAAGTTGACCCATCTTTTATCATTACTTGTATCTTCTGTTCTTTTACAGTATGAGTGTATCTTTTTCATCATGCTTCAGATTCATGTGATAGAGAATATTTATGTATGTGTGTATATATATTATTATTTTTATATGATTTAATATATTTTATTTAAATTAGGAATTTTTCCACAACTGAATTTTAATGTGTGTGTGTTTTTACAGTTAGTTCAGATAATAATGTTTCTCTGTCTTTCTAGTTTCTGCAGATACTATTTAGCTTGGTATTGTATTTCAATTATAAGTACCATGTAGCAGGTTAAAAAAAGCTAGCTTATAGTCATACATCTTCATGAAGATAGTTTTAGTGTGTATAATATTGATTTTTTTTAACAGGTTTTTATGGTACTAGAAATGAAGTCAGCTTTGAGTTCAGATCTGGTCTTCAGTGAAGAAGACCTGCCATATGAAGAGGAGATTTTAAGAAACCCTTTTTCTGTAAAACACTGGATGAGATATATAGAATTTAAGAAAGATGCCTCAAAACAAGCCATAAATGTAATCTATGAAAGAGCTCTTAAAGAGTTACCTGGAAGCTACAAGTTATGGTACAATTATCTAAAACTTAGGAAAAACCAAGTGAAAAATCATTGCATAATAGATCCATCATATGAAGATGTGAATTTTGCATTTGAACGTGCCCTTGTGTTCATGCATAAGATGCCTAGAATATGGCTTGATTATTGTCAGTTTCTTATAGATCAATGCAAGATAACAAGAACGCGACGAGTTTTTGATCGTGCTTTACGTGCTCTTCCGATTACTCAGCACCACAGAATTTGGCCTCTGTACCTTTCTTTTGTAAAAAAACATGAAATTCCAGAAACAGCAGTCAGAGTATACAGACGATACTTAAAGTTAACTCCTGAAAACACAGAAGAGTACATTGAATATCTCCGTTCACAGGGTCGGTTGGATGAAGCAGCACTCAAGTTGGCAGAGTTGGTTAATAATGAAGATTTTGTTTCAAAAGAGGGGAAGTCCAAGCACCAGATGTGGAATGAATTATGTGATCTGATATCAAAAAATCCTGATAAGGTTCACTCATTAAAAGCAGACTCTATCATTCGTGGAGGGCTTCAACGGTACACTGACCAGCTTGGTAAGTTATGGAACTCATTAGCAGATTACTATATTCGGAGTGGAAACTTTGAGAGAGCTCGAGACATCTATGAGGAAGCCATCCAAACAGTTTTGACTGTCAGAGATTTTACACAAGTTTTTGATGCCTATGCTCAGTTTGAAGAAAGGCTAATCAGTGCAAAAATGGAAACTACGGTTAATTCCAACTCAATAGAAGAGGATGATGAGCTCGAATTAGAGTTAAGGCTGGCTCGATTTGAAGACTTAATGGATAGGAGACCATTACTGTTGAACAGTGTGCTGCTTCGTCAGAATCCTCATAATGTTCATGAATGGCAAAAACGTGTAAAACTTCTTGAAGGGAAACCAAGAGAAATAGTGAATGTTTTCACTGAGGCAGTTCAGACAGTAGACCCCAAGTTGGCCACAGGAAAACTTTATCAACTTTGGGTTTCATTTGCTAAGTTTTATGAAGAAAATGGGCAAATTGAAGATGCTAGAGTCATCTTTGAAAAAGGAACTCACGTTGCTTACACTAAAGTTGTAGATTTAGCAGCTGTGTGGTGTGAATGGGCAGAGATGGAACTGAGACATGAAAATTATGAGGGTTCTTTAAAGCTCATGGAAAAAGCAACTGCTGCTCCACCCATAAAAGTTGCATATAATGACACTACAGAACCTGTGCAGTCTCGGTTATACAAATGTTTAAAAGTATGGTCCATGTATGCTGATTTAGAAGAGAGTTTTGGTACTTTTAAGTCAACTAAAGCTGTATATGACCGTATTATTGACCTCAAAATAGCAACACCCCAAATCATCATTAACTATGGCTTGTTTCTTGAAGAAAATAGTTATTTTGAAGAAGCATTCAAAGCCTATGAAAAAGGCATTGCTCTCTTTAAATGGCCCAATGTGTATGACATCTGGAAAACCTATCTGTCAAAATTTTTAAAACGTTATGGTGGGCAAAAATTAGAACGAGCTCGAGATCTTTTTGAGCAATGCTTAGATGGCTGTCCAGCCAAGTTTGCAAAATCTATTTATTTACTATATGCGAAACTTGAAGAAGAACATGGACTTGCCCGCCATGCTATGGCTATTTATGACAGGTCAACCCGAGCAGTAGAACCTGATGAACAGTTTGAGATGTTCAACATTTACATTAAGAAAGCTGCCGAAATCTATGGAGTGACTTATACACGCCAGATATATGAGAAAGCTATTGAGGGATTACCAGATCATTATGCTCAACAAATGTGTTTGAGGTTTGCAGATCTTGAGCAAAAACTTGGGGAGATAGATCGTGCAAGAGCCATTTATGCTCACTGTAGCCAGATGTGCGACCCCAGAACAACTGTAGACTTCTGGCAGACTTGGAAAGACTTTGAGGTTCGTCACGGCAATGAAGACACTGTGAGAGAAATGTTGCGCATTAAGAGAAGTGTCCAAGCAACCTATAACACTCAGGTGAACTTCATGTCTGCACAGATGCTGAATGCTGCAGCTGCTGCTGCTGGACAAATTCCTGAGAACTTGCCAGAAAACAGTATGCAGCAGCTTGAGGCTAAAGCTAAGGCACTTGCCCAGGAAGCCCAAAATGATCAGCCACATATGCCTGGAAGAAAGGATATAATGTTTGTCCGTGGAGGAACAAATGCTGCTGAGGAGGAGCTTGCAGAATTGAGTAAAACAACCAATCCTGAAGAAATTAACATTGATGATGATTTTGATACAGATGAAGAAGAGAATGTGGAAGAAGTTCAAGTAGAAAGAAGATCTGTTCCAACAGAAGTGTTTGCTGGTTTAAAGAAAGATCATGATGATGATGATGATTAAAGATAACAATAATATTGAGGTTTTCTCTTATTGCAATATGCAAATACTAAGAAATAATAAAAGGTAAATCATAAAGAAATGTAATACAGGTGTCATTCTGATAAAAAAAAAACTGAAATTAATTTAACAAACAAAGTATTTTAAATAAATGTGGATAGTCTAAGAAATGACTAATCACAATGTAATTAGAATGATGATAGCTTATTCTTTAGAGATACAACTTCAGATTTTACAAAATGACATTTGTTAACTTTATATCACCATCATTAGTTCTCTCAAGTTCATTCTACAGTTTTTACTTTTTTAACAGATTCAATTATTTTAGTGTTGCTGTAAATACTCTCAAACAAACAGAATTAACATCATAGTTTTATGAGATACTGAAAATTGCTTATAATGTTCAAACTAACAAAGGAAGTTGTATTTGTTTGTGGTAAGTTATTACTAAGAATGATAAACTTGCCTTGAAGTATACAGTCTGTATGAGAATGTCCAATGATTAAAAGGTATATGAATCTTCCCCAGTTTGTTGTCTGTCTCTGCTGAAACTTGGTTTTTAAATATTCTAAATGTTGTAATTACAAAGTGAGTGTTTAGGATCCCTTATCATTATTTTCATTTGTTTTTCAAAAGAAATGCTGTAAATTAAAAAACAATTAAAAGCTATTATAATTTACATCAACTAATTATCTGTTACACATAAAACTAGGTATTAAGTAACACCTATGAATTGTTTTAAAACATTATGTAAGTAAATACCATTTACAGCTTACTTTTTGTGAAATTATTGTTTAACCAGTTATGGCCCAGTTGATGAATTAGTGCCAATTAGCACCTATTGATCCATTCCAAACATTTGAACTGGATTTTTATCTCTACTTTCCAAAGTTATAACAAAATTTTACAAACATACATTTAGATTAATTGAATTTTTTATGGTATTGGTTGGTCAATCTCATAACTTTTAAACTTATGTACTAGTATTGTTATTTTATTGTATTTTGACCAACTCTTGAACATATTACCTGACTGCAGTTATGCCTGATATATTGTTTCAGTTATATTCTATTTCATCATGTCATGAATTATTAATTTATTCAAAATATTTCATGTTTCATAGATCTATAGCTTTTTTCTCACTAATTTACCATTCCTAAACTTTTTCTCTTCACACCTCTGCATTCACCTCAGTTACAATTCTATTTCCCTTTGATATTAGCTAACTTTCTAGTACTCCAGTACATTCCACTGGTCTTCCCTAATACTGTATTTGGAAAGTATTGACTCAAACTGTTTATTTTCATCAATTGTCACAATAATGACATCTCTGATACATTTCTATTGAGTAGATTGTATTCTACGACAAACAACTATGGAATAGTAAGCACATTCAAAACCTGCAACAGTACAATGATCTAACAGAGAAATTTCTAATTTAGAGCAATACCCAACAGAGACTAGCACAGAGCTAATAAAGCAATAGTAATTTAGGAATTGTTGGCTTCCAAATCAGCACAGTTGACACCAGTAAAAGTAGGAATGTGAGAAAATGAAGGAATAGTGTCAACTGGGTCAGTATGTTTCCTCAGGTACTCCTTACCACATGGGTAGCAACACAGTATTTTGCATGTACAACGAGTTCTTTTCTGTGCCCTTCATGTGATACATTGGGTTGCGGTTGAGTGCATTCCTTGGATCTGGGACAACTTCATAATTTAATGATCTGGAGCTTCAATAGGAGATTTAGCAGGAGTGGTTGGTTATTTAACCTCATGGCAGCTGCATATTTCCTAGATGTGTAATCACTGCAAAGTGTATTTCCTTTCTGCAGCAATGTTACCCAGTCCTTTAGCCTTTTTTCTCATTAATCACGACTGAATTAAAAATGTAGTAGAAGATCTTCATATACCCACACATAGGGGTCAGAGGGATCACATGTTGTCCCACAAGGCAACTGTGTCATTCCTTCCCTCAGTTGTTGTAGGCTTAAAAATTGGAGGTACAGGGGCTACCTTGCGCATGTATTTAGAGCAGTTGTCATTATGTTCTTCCATAAAAATTTGGGAAGAAGAAGTGGATATGCTTGAAAGATATTTCATGATAGATACCACTTTCTTGTCCAATCATACTATAAGGCACACCAACTTGTTTACATGAAGGGTGGTAACTGTTCGTAGGTTTCAATGTTTAACCTTGGCTTTGCAGTTGAAATACTTGTAGGCTCAGGTGAGCAGCTGAATGTCGCTCCTAAGATATTAGAGATTGAGCAGTAGTGAGGTTTTACCAGAAGTACCAACAAAACTACTTTTTTTCCTGGCATAAGTAAGTGGCTAAATCTAGATCTGAAAATAATCTACTAAATTATATGACATGTCCTTTGTTAAAATATAGCTCAGAGGGTTACAAAATAGTATTGCACCCATTGATTTGACTAATCTTTGAAGATAAATGTTCTACTTGATAGAGTATCTGCAGCATACCCAGCATATTGGTCACAATTTCATCCTGTATTTCATTGGTTTGGACTTCATATGCTGGTAAACAACACTTCTCTCATAAAACTTCACAATAATTTCACAAAAGAGAAATCATTGGTTGGTTGTAGAAGCATCTGGTTGTTGTTGTTCAGTGCAAAGAGGTTGTTGTCAAGTTTTACTTCCAAATGCTCAGCAGTTGATGTTCTTTTGCTGTTGTTTTCAGTAAAGTGCAGCATTGTGAGCGGTTGCTCAAACTGATTGCAATAAGTATGTTGTTTTAAACATGGGAAGTGGTAGATCTCAGAATTGATAAGTAGATGTGATGTTGTGAAATAGTGCTAATGATGTTTATAATAGCAAGCCAATGAAACGTGTTCTGGTTTCTATACTTTTGGATTTGTCATGAAAGATAGAATTGAATTCCAACTTCCGAAAGAAGATGTTTAAGAAGCCAGTTGTCTCCTCACATTCAAGTTAATATTGGCCTTAGTCAAAGAAACTGTGTTCAGAGTAAGAGGTATCAAGTGCAGTGGTTCCATTGATTCCGTGAGTAGTTGTATAACTTTTAAATTATTTGAGAGTATAATTAGATATATATTAAAAAAAGTATATTTGCACAGCTGTGAGTAAAAAGGAAACATTTCCAGGAGTGGGTACACAGTAGTGTTCCAAATTTCAGGGTGAAATCTTTCATTGGGTGTTTGTCATATGGTCAAGCATCTTGACTGTACTTTTTTATTTCTGTCATATTATCTTCATTTTTTGCATATGAACACTTTTATATTCTAGTTCTGTTTTGTTATTCATCCATTCATCTTCTTAATTTTGTTCAGATTTTACAGAAATATTTTCTTTACTTTATTCAAGTACAACATCATTTGTTTAAACACACAAATCAGAATATGTTGTTCTCCCCCAACACAGTTCATAAAATTGTCGAAAATTATAATTCTAGGACTTTTCCAGGACCATTTCTGACAATTTTCCAGCACATTAGGAGAGGAAACATTACCAGAGAATCAATAGATATATCATATAACAGACATATATTGTAGTGAACTAATACTCATTTTTAAGTTATTAGTTTTCATTACCATTAAAGTTTAAACATTTTGTAATGATGCCAATAGAAAAAAATACATAAAGACTAAGTTAATGATACTAAATTTTTAACACTGGCTTTTTCATGTTTACAGAGTGAGAAGCTCATGCTTACAACTAGATTAAAATATATTCTTATATATAAAGTCCTTTTTTGAATTTTAACACTAGTTTGTCTTTAAAAGTATGCAGTACTAAGTACATGCGTAGATCAAATACATAAAGTCCAGTTAATAATAATGATTTTTTAACACTTCACTATCACTGATTTGTTATGTTTTTAAATTGACAAGTCCAATGCTTACACCTAGAACAAAATATAGTATTTTAAGTGTTATTGGCATGAAGTCAGGTGTTATCAGTCTACCCTGTGACAATATCATTGTGGCCAAACTTAAGGTGATGTCCTTCAAAGCTTTCATTAATATGCATCATATATTAAATATGCCAACTTAAAAATAACAAAACACCTGAAATGAAAGATAACTAAGTAACTAAGATCATTCCACGAAATAATGATTATAAGCATAAATGCACATGAGGTTAATGTCTTAACAGTATTACGTTTATTTTTCATGATCAAGAGAAATCATGTTTTTAAATGAGTAAGACTTACTAAATTACTGGCAGGAACTAGTTTTTTTATTACAGCAATGTTTCAACTCCATACAGAGTTGTCAGATTTAAAAACGAATGTTACATAGCATGCATTTAAATAAAAAATCATGTTTTGATTGCATTTATGTCAGAATATCTACTTTGTTGTATTGCTACATATGTATATAGTAATTGTTTTGAGAAACCTATTAACTAGTTTGATATATGTGACAGTTGTATTATATGAAATCAAAAGAGAAATTACAAACCAATGACTATGATCATTATCATTTTGTAACATGTATATAATAAAATATAACAATGTTTATATTGTTTTCCACAGTTTGCATTATTCTGTAAACTGAATTAGGATTGGTTTCTGTACTTCTGAAAGTTGAACACCTTTGTCTCTATTCCCAAAGTATTTGTTGAAATATAAATAATAAGGCTTCTTTTTTTTTATGCTCTTGCTTTCTCAAGTTATTTGTAGTGTCTGGATGGCAGATTCTAGGCAACAGTTGGCTATGGAGCTGCATTATGGAACTAAGATTTTTATTACTAAAATATGTGTTCTTTTAATTGAGTAGTTACATTCTCCAAGTTTCAGCTCTGTAGAATTTCCCACATATTAGTGTCACACATAAACTGTGTCTGTTGATAAAAGTGCTTTATCAGCATTTGTTCTGGATTTTTGAGTGGTCTCTAAGATGTTTTGATATTAAATTGTCTAAATATTCTAGAAACCTGTTTTGAAATTCATTTTACATGTTAATCTGTGAGGATTATCATTTTGTGGTTTGTTCTTTTTACTCTGATTTTTTTTTGTGGATTTATGGATGAAGTGACTAGAATAGATTTTTAGCTGTTTTATATTCCTCAAATTAAGGGTGTTGTATTCAAATGCTGGCAGGTATATGTTGGATACTGAGGTGGACACTGGTGAGCCCATGACAGTATGGTGCCTTTTTTTGTTCATAATATTGACCATGAAAAATTATATTGAAGTTAGTGTTTTATAAGAATGTTTCAATAGATAATGAAGTTCTCTCTGATAAACTTTTGTCTTCTGTTAGTCACTTTTGGATCATCTTTAAAGCTTTATCTGTTGGAATGCTTGTGTATAGGGTTACAACATCAAGACTAACAAGAGTTTCATTGTTATCAAGAATGGTGTATTTTGTTACCAGGATGAATTCTTTGATGCTACTTATGTCATACAAGGGGATACTTATAAGCAGAGTTACAACAACTGTCAGTAGGTTGATGTATTAAATCAAGTCACTGTCATTGAACAATGGGTTAATGAATTTTTGATAGTCCTTAAATTCTGGCACAACTTAAGTGATTAT